ATATGCTGACTCTCTGTAAACCGCTTAGAGAGGGCTGAAAGCCCTATGAAGCGGTATATAAGTCTACTGCTATTGCTATTGCTATTGCTATTGAGCACTCTGCCAGCGAAAATGGGCTCCCAAGCTCCATCTTTGGCCGGGACAGCTCCCGCAACCCTCTGCCAGTGAAAACGGAACTCGGGAGGGCCGCCTGCAGCCCTCCCGAGCTCCGTTTTGATTGGCAGGGGTGCTGCGGACCAATTCTTCACTGTTTCCAGGGTGGCCCCATGGGCTAGAGCTAAGCACCTTGAATTTGACACCTCTGGTTTAGTATACAAATATAGCAACTGATCGATTGGATCATTAGATCCAGTGCTTTTATCCAACAGCCATCATCTCAGTAGAAGCTCATGTAGTAAATGCTATTGTTTTCTATCTTTGCTGTCTATCCCAGTATCTATTGACCAGGAACAAATAGGCACAAGGCTGATCAGAATGGTCCCAGTGGCTAACTTGGTGGGTTGCACAAGCACCCTGGTGTATGCTGCAAAGGAAAATAAGCTTAAACATGCCTGGGTACTAGAAATTCTTGCTATACCTGCAGACTTGGGCCGTCCATCAGAGCCACTCAAGGATGCATCCAAAGAGCTGCAGAAGCAAGTACTGGAGTGACAACTGGATAAACATTCACTGAAAACAGAGTTGGACGAATTGGAGAGAGATCCAGAAGCCCCATCACTCAGCTCATAAAACCCTATTTAAAAACAAACAAAAGAATCCATTAAAACTGCTTGCGGTTAGTAGCGTGAGGAAGGAATAGGGATCTAGCATATTCCTCCTGAGCCTAAAACCCCTATTCCATATAAAACGAGAGTTTGTTTAAGAAAATGAGATGGAGTAGAGGGAATGTAGCAACTTGATAGATCTGAGTCTAGAGCCCACATCTACCTCTTAATGAAACAATATACCTAATAATCTCCCGTTTCTTTTGGTAAATAAATGTCAACAGCAACATCTGAATAGCGGCTATCGGTGGCTTTTTCTTTGGCAGACATACTGAAATATAGGACTGTAGATGCAATTGCTGTCATATATAAAGGCCAGTAAAAGTAAGGGGAGGCTTCATCTGATACAGTATAGACAGTTTCCATATAAATAACTGAACCTCCAACTATAACCGAACCTAAATTAAGAAGCTGTAGCTATAATTCATGTCATCTGAGCAAGCAGAATTTTGGCTGCAGCTTCCTCAGCCTGTTCCTTATAGCATAACTGTTCCCTGTGGGATATAATTCCTTGCCTTTTTCATGCAAGATGGAAGAAGGCATTAGACATTGTTATTTAATACTGGAGTTCTGTGGACCGTACCTAGGGATGTCCTAGATGCCTGGGCCCCCACAGAATGCTGGGTTGCTAAGCCCCCTTTTACAAGACCTAAAGTCTGCTGGTCATTATAGCTTAGCAATATAAAATGCTTACCTGAACTGGGACGGCTATCCATGTCAAGGTGTTCATCTGTTGTCTTTTCAACATCCAGCCTCAAATCACTGATCTGTTTGTCCAGTTCTTGCAACTGGTTTAACAAGCCAGCATCTCTTCTTCTTAAGCAGTTCTGAAATAATAGCCGGAGTGAAAACGGATTTCAGTGTATGATAGGTTAAGGAAGAATGCATAGATAGTAGCAACAACATAAACCAGTCCATTGTTACTAGATTCTGTTGAACAAATATTATTTCTACTGGTTTTTAGTATGGCTTTTTTTTTAACTTCCTGTCCCAAAGGCAAAGTTTTTCCCCTCTATACCACTTTGCTACTGCACTCAGAAACAACAAAGAAGAAAAGGCTTAAGTGTGGAACGGCGCCAGACACAAAACCAGATCCATAGATTTATTATGTAAGACATACTTTTGGTTTCCATATACAGATCTAAGACTCTTTCTGTTATTAAGAAAGAGAGATTACTCTTAGAGTAAGTAATATTGAATGGGATGCGGTGGCTCAGTGGCTAAGACGCTCAGCTTGTCGATCAGAAAGGTTGGCAATTTGGCAGTTCGAATCCCAAGCCCCGCATAAGGGAGTGAGCTCCCATTACTTGTCCCAGCTTCTGCCAACCTAGCAGTTCGAAAGCACGTAAAAATGCAAGTAGAAAAATATGAAGCACTTTGATGGGAAAGTGACAGCGTCCCGTGGGCCTTTGACATTTAGTCATGCCAGCCACATGATTACAGAGACGTCTTCGGACAGTGCTTTTTGGCTTTGAAACGGAGATGAGCACTGCCCCCTAGAGTCAGGAATAACTAGCACATATGTGCGAGGGAAACCTTTACCTTTTAAGTAATATTGAAGTATCTTCTCCAATTGTTACCAGAACTTTATTTCTGAGAACCAGTAACACTTATGTTTAGGCATCTATGACTATTTCATTCTCTTGTATCATCTTATCAAATGGCTGAATACTCATCGACCCATACTCCCAAAATTAACATTCTGCCTCCAAGTAGCCCCACTCTAAAAATGGCTTAGTTCTGCTTCTTTCTGAAGCTCACAAATTCTCTATATTTGTGTTCAGTCATTTATCCTATCTTTAAGACCCTCAATCAATGAATAAACAAACAAAGAAGCAAGCAGGCAAAGAAACAACATGAGTTTCAAGCACGCGAACCCAGCCAAGGATTGGGTCATTTTCTGGAGATCTTTTCTAGACTCTTCCTGCCATCAGAAACACTGTGACTGAACTCTGAGATGAAAGTCTTTGCACAGTGGCACCAGAGGTGGGTTCCTATCGGTTCAGACCGGTTTAGCCGAACAGGTAGTGATTTAGCAGACTGGGTCACTGCCAGTTCCACACGCCCCCAAACTGGTTCTCCTACAGGGCTGCCATCTTGATTTTTGGTTCTGCGCATGCGCAGAACAATCATAATTGCACAAATGTATTTTTTTCTTTTTTAACTTTTGCACATGCGCAGACCTATTTTTGGGGAAATGCATGCGCATGAGTGAAGTGAGCGTGTGAGTGCAAAATTTTTGTGCACACTGAACCAGCAGTAAAGCTGGGAGCAACCCACCCCTGAGTGGCACTCCGACTTTGGAAACTAGAACAATTCCCCCAGTTGTGGCACTGGAGTCATGTAGGTGGCCAAATTAACTCTGTCTTGGTCAACCAATCTCTTGATTAATGGAAACCATTTTAATTATGGGGGGAAGGTTAATGCACACAATATTTATGCAATGATGCTTTATCTTTAGCCTATGGGTAAAGTTTTAGACTTAAGAAAGGTTATAATTGCAAATGTTTATTATAAATTGACAGAAGGGTGTATTTTTGCAATGGAAATGATAACCTTTAAAAATGAGGCAAGAAACTGAGTTTCATTCAAGGTAGCTAAACCCTGAACCCTTGTTGACCTTCTCCTGAACTTGCATAGAATTACAGGCTTACTGTTATAATACAGCTTTCCCAAGTCTGGCGCCCTCCAGATGTGCTGGGTTACAACTGGCAGAATTCCCAGCTCTTGCTCTTCTGCAAAATAAACAACCCAAGACAGGTATCTTGGCTGTATAGTTGAGGCTAGATATTAGCTCACGCTCCTTGAATGGCAAATTAAGATTGTATATCCTTGTTAAGTGATGTTGTCATGATAAGAGCTAGATCTATACAGCTGAAACCCAATTAGTAATCCCCTTCTTCATCCTCAGTTAGAGGAAAGGATTGGTTGCTTGAAGCAATAAGAGCATTTAAGTAAAAGATATTCTTCATGCATGGTGTTGCAAAATGAGTTTAAAATAAGCTCTTTAACTTCAGGTCAGAGCAATCAGTTTTCCTGCTGAATCTTATAATTATACCTATCCTTCAATAACACTGCTGCACAACGCTCTTATTTTACGTACGGTATATACTCTGCATCTTCTAGCATTTCATTTCTCTGAAAAAGCATGGTTTTCAGAAAAAGAAAAATGGGGTCCATCTGGAAGGCTAAATGTGTCAACCCCTCTGATTCTTGGCAGGCTATGATTCAAGGACAGCTTTGTGCAACACGAATCACTTCATGGTCCAAGGTCATTGGTGAATGTGGAAGCCCTTTTTGAAGTCTCACTTAAGGGGCAGATGCTCAAGGTTTTTGCAGGCTCTGATTGTCCTGTTGCAGGATACAGGTTTATGGAACAATTTTTGACCAGCTGGGGAAAAGAAAATCCATCTATTTTTCACTTTTTCTTCAAAGCCACTATCAAAAAGCTTGGAAGCAGAGAATAGGATCTTTGGTACATAATCCAATGGAACATGTTCATCCATTGGCGTGCAATGCGAAAGGAAAAGAGAACCAGTTTGGTGTAGTGGTTAAGGTGCTGGCCTAGAAACCAGGACACCATGAGTTCAAGTCCCACCTAAGGCAGGAAAGCTGGCTGGGCGACTGAGCTACAGTCACTCTTTCTCAGCCCATCCACTTAAGAATGTTGTTGTTGGGAAAATAGGAGGAAGAAGGATTAATAGGTACATTTACCACTTGAATTACTTACAAAATAATAAAGGCAGGATAAAAATCTAATAAATAAGTAAAATAAAAATCTTTTCTATTGAAAGAAGTCCTTATTGGACATAGGACTTCTTCCTCCATTCAATGGAGTGTAATTTTTTTCTCCATTTGCCTGAAGAAGAGAGAAAATATTTCCCTGTGTTACCCAAACCTCATTCACAAAGGTTTCTGTTATCTCTCTCTTCTCTCACCCCTTTGGCAGGATAAGGAGTGTTACAAAGCAAATATATTTTTGTGATTATTTACACCTTAAGGGTAACCATGTTATAGCAGGTTATATACATATGCATACAAAATGTGTGCCGAATCACAAATAAAGGGCAACTCTATCAGTGCACACCATTAAATCCCCCATTTCAATTCAAATCTATTTTCCAGTCTACTTTTTCCCTGATTAGTTGAATGCCCCCAGAGTATCTGCAAAGGATGTATGGGTGACAAAACTCCAGATGATGGCAAGGACTGTGCATGCAAATTTTAACCCAAAGCACTACCCTCTTGACCTTTTAACCAACCTTTGTAACCAAACTGTACACCAAGACAATTAAATGGCAAGTTCATTCATACAACATGCTATGATGCATTACCATGGATTCATTTTTTCGTTAAGGGAGTTATGCGAACTGAACCCATTTGATTAATTTATGATTTGGTGTATTTTGAGAATCCAGAAAATGAGTTAATTCAGTAAGAAGATAAAAAGTGCTGTTTATGCAGAGCATATCTTCACATCCTTAAAAGCAACAACAGAAAGCCACAAATATTATGAGCCTCTATAAGCCCCAACAGCTCTAGATCCCATTCCGACAAACTGACATGGATAGGGGACATGTGTGTCATAAGCTTGGCCTTGTCAGTGCCAGTCCAGTTCTAAATCTGTATGTCAAAATACTCAATAGGTCAGCATTTCTGATCACAAAAGCAGAGTAAAGAACAAGTAAAGCTTTCTTCTAGTCAAGTTCAACTAAGTTTGCACCAGAGGTGGTATTCTGACCAGTTCAGGAGAACCAGTAGTGGAAGTTTTGAGTAGTTTGGCGAACTGGTAAATACCACTTCTGACTGGACCCATCCCCATCTATCCTCTGCCTCCCGAGTCCCAGTTGATAGGGAAGAAATAGGAATTTTGCAGTAACCTTCCCCTGGAGTGGGGTGGGAATGGAGATTTTACAGTATCCTTCCCCTACCATGCCCTCTGTTCAAGGACTAACCATGTGTATCCCATCTCACCTTTCTGAGATTAACCAACATCCCCCTCAGTACAAAATGGTAACTGCTAATAAAACCTTTATCTCACTTTATTCATTATTTTAGAAGCATCCCAAAATGGGGCTGTTTCAGTGTATCTTGAGCAAGATTTGCTCATCATTATGCAATACATCTTTTTAAAAATGTTAAATGTTACACTGCAGCAATTTTAAATTAAAATGGATGCTCCAAAAATGGATACCTATTGTTTAATGAGCACAACATGGGAAATTGCAGAGCTGGGGGAGGGTAGCTTCTACTGTATCTGAGTTTTAATCTCTTCTATTGCAATCCGGAATAACACAGGGAAAAAACTAATCTGGGATTGCTGGAAGAGAGACTATTTCCTGTCCCCGGGCAATCTCATCCTAGGTCCAATGTGATTCTCCCAGCCCATCAATAGTTGCTGGCTGAGACAGAAAGGCTCCTTCTTCTAAACTTCTAAAGGGAGACAGAGATCTGTATCAGAAGAGGATCATGGGGATGAGGGGAGCCCTCTTTGTCTCACAGCCAGCCAAGGGATACAACCAATTTCTCTCATTTGCAACTTGCAACACAAGCTATTGTTGCTGAACACATACAACTCTTCACATGCTCCAAAATAGCACTGAGCCCGAATGATGGGACAATGAACAGGATGTTGGAGAATATGAGGCTTTAAAAAGCGCTCCATGGAAGGATGGGCTCAGGATTTTATGCAAGAGATGATTCTTCTTTAAGGGTTCAGGAACATAGTTCAGCTTGAAATGCTCTATAAAACCCTTGAGAAAACGGAAATCCAGCCTCAACTTTTTATACAGTCTTTTGTTCAAACTCTCCTGGCAGGACTCTCCCT